AGTTAATACCACCACTTCAGTCAAGTACAATCTTTCCCTTGTTTAAGAGACCAAACAAAATAGTTAATTACCAATATTTAATTTTTTTATTTTTTAAAGTTAATTCTTGTGTTGTCAGGTAAAAGAAATAATTGTGTAAAATTTTAGCTAGATCCAAGATTGAGTGTGGGAGAAATAATACGTACAACTTTTTACCATATAGACAGGGTGAGCTTTGTAAAAAAAAAAAGTTGAAAAAAAACTTGAAAACAAGGTCTCTAGCCTCCATAACTGAAAGCTGACATACTAGCCACTGATCTATAAAAATACTAATAAAAATAGAAGGTTTTATGGTTTATCTTTTGTTAATTTCTAATTTTTAGCCAATTCTCTACACAAGGCTTATCTCCTCTTAGCTAGTGCTGTCTCTTTATTAAAAAAATTACGACTAATTGATAAAATAATTTGTCAATTTTTGAAATTGATTTATGTGTTGTCAATGGCAAAGAATAATTGTGCAAAGTTTTAACTTGATCTGAGAACAATTGGAAGAAATAACAAGTACAATGTTTGTACCAGACACACAGACATTGAGTTGATATAAGCTTTAAAAAAAAATTATTAGTTCTATTCATTTCCAATGAGTTTACTTTCTTTCAAATAAAAAATAAATCATGTAAATGTGAAGATAAATTACAAATGTATAATCAAATACCTCAGACCATTGACCAATTTCCCATTTTAGTGTGCAAGGCAGCCCTACACACTGTTTTCTTTCATCTGGCCTGGAGTCAAGGTCACACAAAAGGCTATCAACACTGATGTTAATTAGTTGGCCAGATGAATCTAGTTCTTGACAAACATACAGCCTCAACTGTGTACCATTTTGGTTGCAGGCTGCATCACAATCTGCCCAAAGATCTGAGGGTTGCCAGGTGTACAGTTTGGGTCTTTAGAAGGATGAAATGTATTTCAATTAAACTTGATTGTCATAATCACTCTATTAGTACATCTAATGTTTATGCTTATTGTCAGAGGCTTTCCTTTAATTGTTGTGGATGGTTTTACATCTAGCTTTACATCTAGTACATGATTTAGTCTTGCATTTTGTTATCACTGAAGATGTGCATGTTCATTTTGGTTGGGAAACTGACACACCAGATTTATTTCTTTAAGTTCTCTTGTATTTTTGCCATGGTTTATAGTGTCCTGAGATAGCACCCTTAATTTTGGGGAGGGGGGGGGGGGAAGAACAAGAGCCAAACACAGAGGTATTTTGAAATATTGTAAGTCTGATTTCATGGCAAACCAGAGATTTTATCTTATCTTATAAGATGGGCCAGTGTTGGAAAGCAACCACATTGTGGATGACCCTGAGCCAAAAGTCACATGACCACAAGGTATGCAGCTTGTTAATGAGTTACATTGTAGTGCTATAAAAATGTTATGCCATTGATTTATATGTATATGGTTTGATAAATTATTGCTGATGTTGAACATAACATTATGTTTTGATTTTATCATTATTGTCAATACCCATGTTTGTCATTGAATCAATTATTTGTGACTTACTAATTCACTAATTACTAATTCCATCATGTTTGAATTGCAGATTGAAACTTACCTGTCGGGGGCCCATGGAAACCCCACTGAGGTAAAACAAATAAATGTCTACAATATCTGGTCTAAAACATTTGGTCTTCAGAGAAAAAAATTAACATTAATAAAAAGAAATATTATAGTAAATAATAATGAGAAATTAAAACATAAAAGAAAGTCTACAATACTGATTTTTATTGTTTTTCGCTTCTTACTCAGATTTGCAAGGATCAGCAGTGCATGGTCTGGACACTGGTGTTGGTTTACTGACATTTTCACATCTTGAAACATCAACAATGTCAACAGTGCCATTTTTATTCTGTGTTTCACAAACCATTCTATTCACTTCAGTACCAGTTTCGCCACATTTAGCATTGCAAGCTTCAAAGTAGGGGCCTGTACTCCAGCGTAATCTGTTATAATTAAAAAATTTAATAATGTGAAACCAAAAAATTTCTTTTTTTTATTTAATTATTGTACATAAAAAAAATTCACAGCTGAGAAAGATAGTGAAGTTGCTGGTGATTTCTTTCTTTTAAAGAAAAGTAAAAACTTTATAAGCATAGAGTTCTACATCTGTTACCCTTTGACTTATGTGTACCAATTGCATATGTTTTAAAATAGTATCAAAGTTGGCATGTAAATACTAACATAGGAAACTAATTCAATTATTTTTGGGTACAAAAAAGTAGCTTCAATGGGTATAGCTCTTTTTTTTAAAGGATTATTATAAAGATATGGCAATAGAAAAGGAGGGCCAAAAAATGAGATTAATGTTCAGTTTCATAAAAATTAAAGGATAAAACTATATGGAGAGCTCCCTGATTTGGAAACCACTGCGCAGTTCAGCTCATATATTGGTCTGGTCATCTGAACGCTCCAACATAAAAATGAGAAGGAAGAAGAAAAAAAACTTAAGGATTTTAAAATAACGATGAAGACTGGTCAAAGCCAGTTTCTACTGAGGCAGACATGATACATTGGAGCATGTCTGAGTGTCTTTAAGTTTGTCAATAACACCTTGACATTTGACTGACTCCACTACATTTTTACTCTCCACCAAACCATTGTCTCTCTGTGTGATCAATTCACACCAAACTTCACGACGCTGTATAGTCTCAGAAGATTCACTCTCACAGAAACATTGAGACCAGTTGGATGCTGCCCACTGAAATCTAGTAAGAATAAAAGTGATGTATAAGTTAAAGAAATGGAGTAATATCTCATTACTAAGACAACGGCGGACACAAAACCATATTTGGTAAAAATTGGTATTTTCAACTTTTTTTATATGGAATGGCACCAGGGAATGTCAAGCAAAACCTTGAAAATTTCAGGTGCTGTTCTCAGAGACCCCTTTCAATGAAAGCAAAACAGCTGAACTATGATTTTGATCTGACAGTATATGTGCACTTTCTTTCCATCCACAAAGATTTCCACAAAAAGAGTTTATAAACATGCACAAAAATAGTTAATATACGTAAATAAACATATGATAAAATCAAATCAAGAGATCAGTAAACAGCTTATGTCTTGTCTTTTTCTCTTCATTTTGTTTCAAGCCTACTTTACATATCTTGTTAGTCATTCAGCCTCTTTCTGGACATTTGTTCTAAATTGTTTCTTTTAGTGCATTGACTGGTTGCATTATTAAATTGGTTGTCTGGTTATGTGGTATGCACTCTGGACCAAGGTCAGATTTAAGTATGTGGAGGCCCCTACACTTTTTCAAAAGCTTTAATATAGATCCACTTAAAAATAAAAAAACTAATATCTAGAAGCATACCATATTTTAGTAAAGAGAAAAAGAATTTTTTTATAGTAAATCTAATTTTCCCTTAAAAAAAATTCAATACGCATATTTTAGTTATAAAAAATGTATATTTTTGAGTTTGTGGAGGTTAAGGCAATTGGTAGATGCACTGCTGTAAATAGGGAGCTGCATTTACATATTCCAAGCATGCAGACACTTCTTAATCATAGCAGTGTTGCAAGCCGATGTAAGATTTAGCATAAAATGTTAGTGGTAAAAATGCAAAAATTTTGTTCGAGCTTGAAAAAAATCTTAAATTCAGATATATTTCAATCTCTTTTTGTGGAGACCCCTTTCATGTACAGTTATCAGAGCTTTAGCCCTGCCTGCTGTCCTCCCTTAAATCCAGCCCTGCTCTGGAATGGTTTGAACCCTGCCCACTGTCATCATCCTCCTTGTCCTGCAGGGGGTTTGGGCTAGAATGTAAAATCTGCAGGAACATCCAAAACATGTACAATAAAAACACAAAGAAATTAATGTTAAAAAATTGAAAGTGTCAGGGATGTTTGTATCAAACATTTTACTATGGGAAGAAATGTATTCTATACAGTGGGGAATTCAGTGAGCTAAACACCACATCAAAGTTTGTCAATGATATAAAGCTTCCTTTTCCACTGTCTTCATTGTTAATTATATTAACATTTTAGTTCTCTAATCTTAAGTTCAAAGTCACAATATTTATTGATCTTTTTATTATATTCTCCATGTTTTAACTGATGCTGTTTGAAAAAGTCATAATGCAGATGAACACATAATTTGTTAAAATAAAACTAAAAAGTCTTCCTGTATTAAAAGTACAAAAAAAATACCTTTCTACTATTGAGCACGGCTTCCCCTGACAGCTTATAGAAATGTTAGGCTCATTAAGATGTTCACATAAAGAATTTGCTACTTCTATAAAAGTGTTGTTAGGAAACTTTTTCTCACAATGAAATTTTTGATACTGAAGTCCTGGTTGTCCACAACTAGCAATGCATTCTTCATAGGTATTCTCCATGACATAGTTGTAGCTAAAACAATGAGTTCAAATATGTTCAATATTATTATAGCATTAGTTTTATCATTTTATTTATGTTTTTTTTTCTAATTTTTAGTTTCATAAATGATTATTAACATTAATTTACATTGCTGTTGTGCAAGAGTCTCGACGACATGAAACTTCATCTTTTCTTGGCACTTTAAGTAGAGCACATTTCTCATCTTCTACTTTCTGGCCATTGTCTTTATTATAACATATATGTTGCATGACATGAACTCCTGTAATGGAATAATTAATAAAATACATTAGAAGAAATAAATCTATACATTTTACTTGCAAGCCATTGGAGAATAAGAATCTGTAGTACTTTAGTAGCATGTTAAATTGTTGGTTTCAAATATTGTAATTAAGAAACTAAGATTCTTAAGAATTTTTAATAAGGTCAATAAATGTTACATATATTTCAGCAGAAGACAATGGTATAACTTATCTGTTTCATCATGTTAATACTTACCAACACCACATATGACTGAACAATCTGACCATTTGTCAAACTTCCAAGCATATTTATTACTTTCAAAGCTGTTATCCTTTTTGTGCACTGTATAGCTGTAATAGATAGCTGTTTCATCCATGACTTTATTTGGATAAACCTGGTACAATAAAATCATCATTTTTAACAAAGTCCTAGACACAAAGCTAACTATCTTCATAGTTTTTTAAAGGCGCAAATGAAAGTACTGAATTTCAAAGTAAATTAATTTTTTTTATCAATGTTAAATCATTTAAACCTGTGCATTTGTTAAAAAAATGGAAGGCTGATAAAAGGGAAAGAAAAAAATGATAATTTTCAGTAATAGCTTACCATAACTTTGACAGTGTTTCTAATAGGACCATTGCATGTTATAGTCTCATTAGTGTTCCAACTGGTAGTCTCATAGACAAACATGGCTCCAGCCATAACAAACTTTTTATCATCAGACTGTTGCTTGTCTCCATTTAGATAATACCGCCCATACTTAGGATCAAGTAAGGCTGGAAAATAAAATAAATATCACATTATAGTTTTATATTACAGATTGTATGCTTCAGATCTATTTTTACAAATTCTATATTTCTTGAAATAAAATTGCAGCCATGTCATGTAACAGTGATCTCTAGGTGAATAACACATGAAAGAGAATAAGGTACAATCTGACATACATGACCATAGTAGCTTTCTCATAAGTATGTTGGAAGATAAAAGCTGTAATAGTTTTATTCATTAAAAATAAAAATAAACTTTACAGAATCCTAATTGCTGCTAGTAAAATCATTAGCAAAAAACAAATCCCATTTGGGCAGCTCTGTGAGACAAACATTCATAAAAAAAGGTAAAAAGATTCTAGAAATAAAAATCACCCTTTGAGTCAGGATTTTAAAATTTTACCATCACAAAAGAGATACAAGACACCGATAGCAAAGACAAACAGACACAAAAACTCTTATTGTTCCCCTGGCAATCAAATCATTAAATAGAAGCTATCTGATATAAACTTTTCACATCTAAATTATGAGTGAGTCTGGTGTGAATATATATTTTGGTTTTCTATAATTATAATGTTTTGTTTGGTGTAATGCACAAATTGTAAGACTAATTTCCTAATGGATAATAAAGATTATTATTATTATTATTATTAACATTTACTGCTTTGTTTGTATTAGGTATATGCCTTGGTGAATGATGTGTGACCCAACATTTAGGTTAAACACCTTTCACAGAAGTCCAGTGTAGGACATCCTTTGCTTTTATTACAGAGCTATTTTTCTTCATTGCTACAAACAGAATTGGTTGAGCCAAGACCTTTGTTACTTTGAACAGTGTTCTCTTGGTATTGAGCAGTTCACTTTGGACTGTTCACTTGCTATTGAGCAGTTCACTTTTGACTGTGTTCTCTTGGTATTGAGCAGTTCAATTTTGACTGTGTTCACTTGGTATTGAACAGTTACCCATTTAGACTAAGTTTAGGGATCTCCTTCTTCTCTGGTCATCATTTTTTTTTGTTCTGGTGAATGCTTTCTGTAGAATGAATGATTGCTATTGAGTGGCCATTGTCCACAATATGAATTTGCAAACTTCCACAATCATCCTTCATTATGTATCAATTAGTTGAATTTCCCACCAATCTGTTCCTTAAATACTTAAATGGATGAACGTCTGCCATCTCTACACATGCATTAAAAATACCTTAGCACACACAAACATTAAAAGCCTTTTAATTAGCAAAGGTATTCATCCATTTTTTTTCTCTTTAGCGTCATCTGTCAGTTTTAAATTCAGAATGTTTAAAACTAAATCATTTTATATGCACTGGAAAAAAACATTCAGAAGTAAAAAAAATGTACTATAGGAATGAGGTTATTTAAAGAAACCTCAAGAAACTTTTATAGTTAATGTATTACTCAACAAGCAAAATACAAAAATCCTTAAAAAAAAAACAAAGCTTAATTTTAAGGAGTAGAACTCCATCCTTAAAACTATTTCTATCAATAATGTACAAGTTATTTCCCTTATTTGATATCAAACAAAATAATTAATAACCAAGAATTAATTGACTAATAAAATATTTTTGTTTATTCATTCATGTTTTGCTAGGTAATATAAATAACTGTTTAAAGTATCAACTTGATCAGAGAACTGTGATGGAGAAATAGCATTAACAATCATTTAAGGGGACTTAACCCAACAAATTTAGCCATACATGTGAATACTGAAGTATTAATTTCCCTTGTTGCTATAAAGCAAAAACAAATAAATGAATTGCCAGTAATTTATTGTCTAATTGCTTACTTTTTTTTTATTGATTTGTGTCTTGTCTTCATGTCTATGAATAATTGTGCAAAGTTTCAGCTTGATCTGAGAATGGGTGTGGGAGAAATAACACTTTTTACCAGACAGACAGACAGAGTGAGTTGATATAAGCTTTCTAAAAATTTTCTCAGTATTGTCAATATAATCAAAAGCACTCTAGAGAACAAATGACTTTGCAAAGGAGAGAGATTATATGTGTTTTTGGTTAAGCTATTCAAATCTTTAATGAAAATTAATTTTTATCCATAATTTGTTCAAGCATAAAATACAAGCATCTAAAAACTTTTTTTTTGCTCAGATGAATGCTGACTGTATAGTGTTTTTTTTTCTAAATGATGCTTCAAGAAAAATGCATTCTACAAATTTTACAATGCTAGCAACTCTTCTGACAATCAAATATTTTAGCACTTTTAGTAGGAGTGCACAATCTTGGATGGACATACCCTATTTCTAAAGGTTTTAAGAATCATCACTTTTTATTAACAATAGTGAGCATAATTGTAGGCAAGCTAACGAGCAAACATTCAGCATCAGATCTGAAAACTCTGTTGCCTTAATCTCAATAGTTTGAATTGTCACACAAAAAAGTCCATAGTACAAAGAAAGCAAGTAAATTGTTCAGTGTACCTTAAAAGGGTACAGAAATAACCTCAGAATGGAGTCCTGCAAAATTAAAGGATTGGTTATAACAAACACACTAACATTAAAAAAGAACTCATTTGCTGAAATAAATTAATTATCTATAGAATATACCTACCCAGAAACTGTGAAGACTGTTTTGTTTCAATTATTTTGATGTGTCTAGCATTTACTGGTAATGTTAGAACTTCAATATAGTCCTGGCCTGTAAATCAGAATAATAAACAATTTGTAATGTTAACTGGTAAGCATACCAGACAAATTGTGATACAATAATAAAGTAATGAATTCTAATTCTAACATAGTTTTTATGTTGCAAATATAAATCTTGCAAAAACTTCACAGTTCCCTTTTTTTCCTTTTCCACACACACACAAAAGAATTCCACTGAGCACTGATTCTTTCCCTTTTAAAACAATATTAAAGTTTAAAGTGATACAATATTCAAATAAATGCAGAATGCACTATGGACAATGCCATGATGGTCCAAGGTTCTGACCCTACCTACTGCCATCCTCAGCTGCCCTGCAGGAGGTTTGGACTAGGATGTAATAATCTTTTCTGAATAAACTTCTAAAACTTACCCTAGTCCAAGATACACTTCTTAAGCAAATTATAGTCAATTATAACCTGATTTTGGTTTCTGTATAAAATGTCCTGAGATGACTTTACAGTCCCTGCTGTTTCCACCACACACACCACACATGTCCTCTTTCAAAGTAGAGTTGAACTTCCCATCACATCCTACTGCCTATCAAGTCAAGAAAAAAATCACAGCAACTAAAACTATGTAAGTTATCTATACAAAATAAATCAACAATTTAAACAGTTTTTTTATGAAAAACATGTCAAGTGTGTAGTCTGACTTTAAGACAGTGTTGGTTATGGCATGTATGCTAGTGAACAATTAGAAGAGACATCCTTTATTCAGAGCTTGCTACAGTGTCAGAGACTTGACCCATTTTATTATATTAATTAAGCTATAAAATTTTTCTTACCTTAAAATTAAAATATTGTGATAATTGATTATTTTTATAAAATGCTTTATTAATATGTGGTAGCAGTCATTACTGAAACCTAGCTTAGCAGATGTCACAGCTGAACAGCATTTATGGAATAGTAAAAAGTTATTCCAGCTTGAATTGAATCAGCTTTTCAAAGCAAAGATCAGACTTAACAACAATCTTCAAGCTCATAGAAAATGAGATTTTACTCATCTTTGACTTATCCTATGAAATATTTTTTGACGGTTGCCAGCCATGTGTGGTTCTGGTATTCCACAAGTGTATAAAAATTATTGAATATTTATATTAAAAACATTCATACTGGTGGTTTGGATCTGCTACATTTGAGTAATTATAGATCTAATGAGTTAAGTCAGTAATAATAAAGTACAGAAACAAATTCAAAATTCAAACTTGCACAATTTATTTTAATAAATTTGAGTTCTGGAAAGAATGAGCACAAACAACTCTTTGACTCTATAGGGTGTCACATCATTATTTAGTAGCTATTGTGACACGTAGTAGTTGGGAAGCAAGGAGTACATTGTATATTCATGCTCATGATGTTTCATGTGAGAAACAAGTGACCACAGTTGAAATCTCGTTTTTGGGAGTTGATCACATGGTCAGAAATAGTAGATGCCATGTATTTTAAAGAAGACAGACGTGTCTTATATCTTAAAGTTGAAAGTATTGCTAGTTGAGTGTTTGAGGAAATTCTATTTGGATTATGTTGTATGATTATGTGAACTATTTCATGTGATCTCATTGATGGCTGGAATTGCTTGAATCTAGAGGTCTAACAAATTTTTATTTTCAACAACCACAACTCAACACAGGTGACTATTTTTGTTCCAACTTGAATCTATTTTGATTTCTAGATCTAAATTTGCTAATTTAGATCTGGAGCACAGTCAATTGAGTTAAGATTTTAATATCAAGACACATGTAAAACAAATGGCCAAAAGTTCAACAAAAGATCAACTCAATACATTTGGTTGACCTCAATATCATGTGCTAGGCCAGTATTTAACAAAGTATTATACATTGAACTGAAAAGTTCATGAGAATACTAAGGAAAGAAATGCAGATTCACAACTTCCTTTCTTTTTTTTCTGTCCTTTTTAAATACTTCACTCTATATTTATCTACTCAAAGATGTCTTAATTCAAAGAAAAGAAAGAAAAACAAATCTGAATTTTTAGAAGTATTTTTAGCCACACTTGATAAGACTACTGCTTCATGGATGATAATATCACAGAACTTCAATTGTTAGCAACTGCCAAATGATTCAGGGCATTCATACTAAGTATTTTATACACATGTAGCTGAAAAAAAAACAACTAATAAGTATTAAATTATCAGCTTCATCACTATGTTTGTAATGAAATAGT